TCTGCCTGTTTACAGCCTCCCAAGAGCTGGGATTACAGGTGTGCACCACCACATCCAGTCTCAATTGCTGTGCCCCAGGGGTGGGGCTGGCATGACAGGCCCCGGGATTGAACCCCTGGCTCCTACACCTGCTTGCAGGCATTTTAATCCACTGAGCTATTTGGCCAGCCCATAATATGTATTTTTATGTGGACTTCTTTAATTTAGTATTGTTTATGGGACTTATCTATATTTTTGCTTCAATTTGTACTTTTTATTTTTTACTTCCATATAGTACTCCATTATGTGATGATCACAGTTTATCCAACAGTATTGTTAAGAAACATTTGGGTAGTTTCCAGGATGGACTCTGTTACTGTGACACAGTGTATCAACCATTACAATCCACCCCTTGTCAATTTAACTGCCACACACAATTCTTTAAAAACAGTTTCCAGATGCAAAGACATGCTTATCATTTCACAATTTGAAGTTTGTAAGTTTAATTGTTAAGAGACAGTATTAAGTCTATCAGAGTTATATTACATTAGATCCATAACATTCTGCTCTGACTCCCTGAAGACCCATGCATATTTGTTTATGTAAAAAGGTCTTTACTCTTAAGAGTTACCAAAGTCCTCACAGCTTTAGCATTTCTGGAAAGTTCAAGTCCCAAGTCTCTTTTGAGATGTAAGGCAAACTTATCTGTAAGCTCTTATACAAATGAAAAGCTAAACACTTCCCACATTTCATGGCATAAGATATTGTCCTTCCAAAAGTTACAAACAGAAATGCAAAGGATTGGGTGGGACCAAAGCAAGTCCAAATCCAGCATGACAGACATTAAGTCCTGCAATTCCATGTGCAACCTTTAAAGCAATCTGTGACAGGTTGTGAGCTCCAAAGGGCTTGGATAGGTCCACCCCTATGGTATTCTTGTGGTAGTGGCTCCCCTGACTCCTTTCTTAGACTTTCTCTGCTCCCTTTTTGTGGATTTCTTTAGATGATCCATGTTTCTGGCTTTCCCAAACTTCTGAGGTCTTCACTGTACCTTTGCCTTCAACCTCATAGCTTCACACACTGCCCTGTTAGGGTCACAGTGCCTGGCTGACCAGGCCTTCTGAAATTGGAGTGGAAGCCCTCTTAACTTCGTAATTCTTGTGTTCTGTATACACGTAAAATCAACACCACGTGGATGATGCCAGAGTCTGTTGCCATGTGGAGTCATAGTTAGGTCCTCCTCTCTCTTGGGTGTTGGGAAAGAGAGCCTGAGTTGCTGGGCAGTCGGAATCCAGTTCTGAGGAACAAATTTCCTCTGCTGCTGCCATTTTGGAACATGATGCTTTGTGGCTTTCTTCTCAGAGCAGTGTTTCACTTTTGCAGTTTTGAGGCTACAAAGGGTGGAGACTTGCTTCTGCTGTGATGCCCTCAAGCCATCTTTTATATTCTATTCTTTGTCAGCAATCGAGATCTCAGATCTATAGTACTAAATAGATACTACTGTATCTATCTACTACTTTGTAGTCCAAAATTTCTTGCCAAATATTTGCCAGATGTTTCTACTAAAGACTCACATTGTCATGAAATGATTTATTGAATTCTTTACTAATAATAAATTTATATTTGAGACAATATATTCCTTTTTATTTTTGGATAGGCATATACAGTGAAGACACCAACTAAACTGCAAATACAACGAAGAGAAGAAAATAAAGCTGTTGGAGAAAATAAAAAGAGAAAAGTCTTTGAATTTGATGCTAATTCAGACAGTTCAGAAGCTACTGATCTTTGGGTAAAAATATAATTATTATTTGTTTGCATCATTTATATGCATTATATCTTGACTTATCTATATTACAGGCACATAATATTTAACATTGCAATACTGAAATAAAGTAAAGCTGTCCTGTAACACAGAATTCTTTGCTTTTGTAACATTTTAGAGAAATTGGGGCTCAAATAATTTCTTTGTGAATTTCATAAGACATGGGATTTGAAAATATTTGATTTAGCTTAGTTGGCGTATGAGATGATTAATCATTATGTTTCTGTCTGAGTTTTATAAAGGAAATTTTACAAATGTCTAAAAAATAAAGGTAGGGCAGATAATTTAATCTTGCTAAGGCCAAATCTGTTATTAATAGCCCCTCTGATTTTTGCTTATTATGTTATTTTATAAAAGTTATTGATATTTATGTCAAAGTATTGGTCAATACCTGTAATATTTCTCTTCTTCTAAGGAGTTACTGTTGTAAGGACATCATGTTAAAGGAAAGTGTTTCTTCTAACGCCACGTGACTCTGTTTATTCCCTGTTCATACATGCCAGTATTTTCTGAAGGCATGATGAAGAATTATTGAGAATAGTTAGATTTATTTAATTTAAAAACATTAAGATTACTATATCAAATGGTGCAGTGTACCAAAAATTCTTAATGACAAAATTCCATTAAGACTTTTTGTTTCATTATTTCCACATAAGATCTAGCAAGCCTCTTTTTTACTTTGGGAGCCTCTGTTTTTGTTTTGAAATAATGAGGAGAGCTGGGGATATAGCTCAGCAGCACATTACCTGCCTGGCAAGCACAGGGTCCTGAGTTTAATTCCCAGTAACAAAAACAAGGAGCTGAAGTCTTAAAAGCTTAATTAATAATAGTTAATTTAGGGCTGGGGAGATAGCTCAGTAGAATAAATGCTTGCCTGGCAAGTGCAGGGTCCTGAGTTCAATCCCCGGTACCGCAAAAAAAAAAAAAAAAAAAAAAAAATTATTGAGTCTTCACTTTAGAACCTGTTTGTTTTATATGAGGTTGATCAAAAAACACAATGCTTAAGTTAAAATTTGTAATAGTAAAAGATTGTCATTAGTCCCTTTTAAAATTCTCTCATCCATGTCACTTTCTGAGAAAGTTCTGGAAGTTCTTTATCTTGAATGTTTTTAGGTATGCTGTTGTGGGTACCTTGATGTCCTAGATCAATTCAAATGTTTTCTTTTCATGGTCATTTGACTTTGAGGTAAAACCAGAAATTACATGGTGCCAGATTTGATGAATAAGTGGATGAGGAAATAGCATAGTGTTTTTATAAGCTTGCCTATCGATTGGATACCACTTTGCTGCATCATTTACTGTGTTTTGATCATACCTCATAAAGATACTAACTAGAGACTTCCAGAACTGCTTCAGAAAGTGGCTAGAATGATGCGATAAGTTTGAAATGAGGGAGAGTATATTTTGAAGAGGATTAATGACAGTGTGTCTTAATATAACTTTTTAAAAAAATTTAATCATTTACTATGTTTGTCTTCTCTTGTGGCTAGGACAAATCCCCAACACCCAAAATGAAGGAAGGAAAGGTTTATTTAGATCACAGTAAGTGAGGTTTCAGTATATACATGGCTGGCTCCATGGCAGAGTGGTACATGGCACAGAGCAGCCATTCATGGTGGTGGTAAAGAGCAAAGGGAGTGGCAGTAGTTTAGGCAGCTAGCTA